CAGGCGGGAGGGGCGCGGGGCGGGGACACCGTGAGACACGCGGGGAGTCTGTGTGGGCTGTCCTGCGCCATCCTGGGATCCGTGTGCCCCGTTCCGCATCCCCTCCCTGCTGTGGGAAGCTCCCTGCGCCATCCTGGGATCCGTGTGCCCCGTCCCGAGTCCCCTCCCTGCGCCATCCTGAGATCCGTGTGCCCCGTCCCGAGTCCCCTCCCTGCGCCATCCTGGGATCCGTGTGCCCCGTCCCGAGTCCCCTCCCTGCCGTGGGAAGCCCCTGCGCCATCCCAGCCTTGCTTTCCTCCCGAGGCCCGTTCCCCCCTCCACGATTCCCAGTTGCCCCATTCCCCCGGGAAGCAGAAGCGGCCGGTGCAGAGGGTTTGATGTGACCCCAGGGTTTGATGTGACCTGAAGGTTTCTCGCCGCGTCGGCTCCTCGGGTGATTCCCAAAAGGCGGCTCGATGCAGCCAGGGTGACAATCCCGCGGGCTGGTTCCCTGAGGGATCCCTCCGGAAAACATGATCTCAATAAAGGGCTCGGCCAGCCCCCAGTCTGCAAGGCCTCACTCAGAAAGGTGCCACGCATGTGAAATAAGACTGACCCCGTCTTCTCTGAATAATTTTATTTAATCAAAAAAGCCCAGAAACGGAGTCTTTAGTATACTCTATTTATGGGAATGCAAGGACAGGAGATGCACAGGTCGAAGCTACATCTGTAGATGATCATATATACTGCAGTATAGTAACAACAACATGGGACAGCAAGTAGTCACCTCACAACAGTACACATGAGTGATTAGACTTACAAAGGAAATATTTACAAACCTGCCTTTACAAACCAACATTGTGTGCATACAAAATGAAATCCACAATAAAACTGAAGATACATTTAAGGCAGACCAGCAATACACTGAAATAATTAAGGCTGTGGAATTACTTTGCACCTTGAAAATGCTGAGCTGTTAGAAATACTGTTTCTTTTTTCCTCCTTCAGTGGATTGTTGCTAGGAATGAAAAGCATCAATACGATCCAACTGTTTGCTCTTATCTTGATTAATAAGTCTGAGACTGATTTTTTTTTTTTTTTTTGCACTTGCTATTGCATTTGCTTTCCAAAAGTTATCAGCAAATTGACCTCAGTGGCAGAGCAGTGTTGAACAGTTTGGTAGAAAGAGAAGTAAAAGCACCAGCATCAGAAGTTGGACATGAAGGTGAAATATGGCTTGAGTAGAGAAGATGTTGGTTTTTCACTAGCTCCATAATAAAGACTACAGTTACAGTAAACATTCAGCATCCTGACGCTATGGAAACACTCAGCACTATACAGATCCCAGAACGAGAGCACATCACTTGATGGCACTGTGCAGTCAGCCTAGTGAAATGGGATTTGATTCTGTTTCCTTGGGAAAGCACCATTTTCTGATGGGACATGAGTGAATGAGCTCGAAAATAAACCCAAGCCCTATGTTAGAGGAGAATCCACCTCTGCTGTGAAAGGAGCAAGAACAAAAAAAGGTGGTGAGCCCCTGTGCATGTAAATTTTCTGTTAGACCTTTATGTGCACAGAGAAACCTTTACATCTGTCTCTGAAGTTTATATTATCCTAGGTTACTTGACACAGTCCCCTCATTGCAAGGGCATTAAAATAGGGTTATATATAGTCAGGTTATAACGTGTGGTTCTGCATTCAGCCTGTATGCACAGTATTTTTAGCACAGACCTAATAGAATTGTCTGAAATGCTAATGAAGCCACAGCCTCAGGGTCAGTTGAGGGCACAGACTTTGTCTCAGCATTAACTTAGAAGTAAAAAGATGCATGTTACTGAAAACACCCAACCATAGTCTTAAAAAGAAAGGGCAGTAAGACTAAATGAAACTTGTTGGTATCACTGAGAAAAGAGAGACATTATAAAGTTTAAAGCCTGGATTGCTTTAAAATACTGAAATCTGCAACCCTGGACTGGCTCTTCTATTCTACTTCCTCTGCATTTATCATATGGCAGCATTGCATGTCAACTTAGTGTTACTCAGGCAAAGCAAGAACAATTGTAATCACAAATGTTATATGGAAGTTCTAACTGGTTCGAGTATTCCTGAATGGGCTGTAAGAAGAATGGTGAATGAATATGGAAAAAGCAAAACCATGGAAGAAAGTAACCCCAGAACATTCAACATCTTCAGAGCTCAGTACCTCTAGCTCTCTCAACAAAGAGTGTTTTTTTGAATCTAAGCACCAATACCTAATCATATCCTCTCTCTTTCAGCCTTTTGGGTTTTCTTTTCTGTTATTTGATAGCAATGAGAGGCTTAAATATTACCTTAAACAGTCCAGCCTTTTCCCACTGTGCATCCAAAGTGTCTGCTGTTGTAGTTTGACATATGAATGCAGAATGTAGGAAAACAAAATGCTAAATAACTCCAAATTTCATGTGATACATGAGAATTTGTTTGTATTAATGCCAAGCAGAAAGCCTTTGGCTTAAACTGTACCCATGGGCCTAATAAAAGTTGCGGGTTTTACAAACCACACTTCCATGAAAAATTTTTAAGGGCAGCACAATCACAGCACAAAGAGCCAGCTTTGACAAATAGAATTGCACAGTCCTGTAGTGAGAAAGTACCTGAGGCTGGTGGTAATTAGAGACTCCTCTTGACTGCTGTCTGTATTCAGTTGCTAAGAAATTGCATACTTTGCACTGTTGCTCAGGATGAGAGTCTGGTCTTTATCTAAAAGGTGCTGCTGGATTGCTTAGAAAATCAGCTGCTGCTCTAGAGAGGAACTGAGATAGGTTCTAGATTATTCAAAAAGCTTAACCTTCTGTGAACACTTGCCTCTTTCAAATGTTTCCACGCTCCCTCCCTGTATTAGATCTCTCATAGAACCACTTCTGACTCTGCTGAGGCACTTGGGCTCACCCTTCTGCCTGTGGCTTCCTGATCTCAAGGGCTGTTCTTTGTTGCACACACTCAGTGCCGAGTGCTGAGGGCTTTTGCTGTGCCTCTTCTCCACTAACAAAATACTGACCACTCTGGTGTAGTGATAGAGCAAGCATTAAGAGAAGGGCCAGGTCTGCTCCCTGCTGTGAAATGGAGCTTGGAGGTGGATCAAAAAAGGGCTGTCAGAGCCCTGAGAATTTAACAGTACTTGCAGGGTATCTCCACCACCTACTGGCAGAGACAGTGCTTGCTCCTGCAGGCTCACAGTGCAGTTACTCAGATGGTAAATGAGGTTTGACTCTCTCCCTTACAAGAGAGTCTATATGAGCACATGTGGTCAGATCAAGCCCTTTTCCTTAGGAAAACTTTTGGTAACAACTGCCATTTCCCAGTACAGGCACACAAATGGTACTCAGCACTGAGACAAAGTCCCCACATGCCAGGAGAAAAAAAATCTCTTTGTCTGTAACCCCTCAAGGCTGTAGAGCTTTGTGGTGTGGCAGTAGGATGGGGAAGCCCCAGCTGGTTTCCCCTTCCAGTCTCATTTCTGGAAAGGAAGATTTGGCCAACCTACAAACTGCTGATTTGTCACTGCAGACTCCCTGTGTTGGTTATACCTAAGGCTGGCTTCGTCACTGTAACATCAATATGATGATGTCGCAACTTGGCTTGCAAGAGAGAAATGTTTTAATTGTGAATATTATATTTTATTACAAATTAGGCTTTGGACATAAAAACATCCTCACGAATGCTTTGGTTATGAGGTGCTAATGGTGGCTGAGAGATATTTACAAGTTTGGAAATGAAACAAATGACATACTTTAAAGACTGAAAACGATTTTCAAGCTGTAAGCACAAGAATGAACTCACCACTCCTACTGCACTCGGAAAGGCTCAGATGGACTTTGGGCCAAGCAATTCTGAAGCTAGAAATGGAACAGGATCCTTTATATTTATATATATTTATATCTATGATACAATATATGTATACTGAAAACCTGTGATAGAAAAAATTGTCTTCATCACCATCATCATCTAGTTTACAGATACTGCAAAAATTGGACTCTGCCTTTTCTCAATGCACAGGTTTTGCAAAAGATTTCTGTACAATGTGTATAAAATGCTTTAAAAAAACCCACCAAAGTCCCATTGTGCTTAATCAGAACCAGCTGTATGCTCCAATGAATTCATTGCCTTAATCGTAGCTCTGAAAGGTGCTGCACGTTGACTTAACACAGCAGAAAGCCCAAGGAGGGGCTTAATGGAGGATTTTGGTCTGAGCACTACCACGCAACACAAGTGTACCTAAGCCACGCCACCATAGGAGCTGATCCAGCAGGGACTGGAGCCTGATCTTGCGTATCCTATGCAGGCAAAGTCCCCACTGAAATCATGGCAGACCTGGGCATATGGGGCATGAGAAATCTGACTGATAACTTAGAGCAGGCTTGCAATGATTTCAGCAAAAACTGACCGGTCCAGTTCTGCAGTACATACTAAGGTCAGCCTGGTCTCATCCCCCCCCACTATCCTACTCCTAATCTTTTGTACATTTTGAATTCAGTTCAGCAAGATCAAGAGGATTTCTTATAAGGCTGCCTCACAAAGATTAAGGCAACTACAAATTTGGCTCTCATTCCCAGCTGGTGTTTTCTTCCTGCAGTCCTTTTTTGGCGGTGGATGTGACAATACCACATGCCCCGAGAGAGGGAGCGTGTCCCCGCTGCTGTCACCCCCTTTGCCTTGGTCCCGTTGCCACGTCTGCAGCGATTCCCACCCTGCAGTTGGTGAAATGCAAACGCCGAACATGGGATATGTACAGGCGGATCCGCGTGCTCCCGGCGGCGCTCCCGGCACGCGGCTCAGGAGCGGCAGCGTAGGATCCCATGGATGGAGACACTACGTGCCCGGGTTCATCCTGCTCAGCAGGAAGCTCTTGACGCTGGGGACCGGGTGCACGTCGTACTGGTGCCTGCGGCGCTCGATGAAGGACGCCAAGCGGGAAGTATCCAGCGGGATCTTGGAATAGCTGCCGTTGTGCGGTTGCAGCCATGGATGCTGTAAACAAGTGGCTGCTGTCGGCCTTCTCCTGAAGTCTTCCTGGAGGATAACGCTGATGAAATCCCTGGCGGCGTGACTCACATCGGAGAAGTACTCGTGTGGGAAGCTGAAATCCACTCTGCACACATTGATACAAGTCTCCTCTCTGCTTTCATCCAGGAACGGAGAGACACCACTTAACATGACGTAGGTGAGGATGCCAATGCTCCAGATATCCGTGCTCAGGGAGACAGGAAGGCCTTGGATAACTTCAGGGGCTGCGAACTCCGGGTTTCCAAGGAGGTGGTGGACATGGTAATGACCTGTGATCTGGACTGCATCCTCCAAATCAATGATCTTGACACGAGGCACTGGGATTCTTAAATCAATCAGCAGATTTTCTGGCTGTTGAAAAGACAATTATATAAACTTAATCATAACTATATTTCGGCAAATAAAATATGTAGGATTCATGTAGGCTTAATAGCCTATCAAAACTTGCATTTAATCAGATGTGCGAGGGAGAGTTCAGGAGAGTGAATGGTAAGGAACCAGCTCAGCTGCTGTTTGTTCTAAATTCAGATCAATGCTGCAGTCGCAATGACAAGATCCTCTTTTGCACTACGGCAGCACACTGGGATTTTGCACTTTGTCCCAAATACTTAGTTTATTTTCCCAAACTAATCTCCACAGATTAAGAGCACTGATGGATTTTTAAATTTTAATAGGACTGATACATATCTGATCAGTTTATTTAGATTCCATTTGTTCAGATGACGGCTGGCTTAAGGAAGTGTGCGTAACTTGCAGCAGAAATGTTCTTCATGAAATAAATGTTCAATTTTGCACCCACTACCCTGGGAGGGACTGGTGTGTGCCATTACTCTTGCTGTCAATTGATATGGAGCTGCCAGTGTTCCCCTACACACACACCAGGACACAGTCATGCTTTCCAAGAGAGAGTAAAATTACATTTAATCTCAGTTGGTTTTCTCTCTGTTTTAGCAGCTCTCAGTATTTAATGTCTCTCTCTCAGTGGGAGATACTGAGCATTGCCTATACACTCTGCTCTGGGGACTTAACATGAATTATCCTTCCTTTGTTGGCTCTGAGACGATTTCTGAATTTACTTCTTGTACCCTTCTAGATATTTTCTTTCTCTCCCTGATCCTCATGCATATTTTACTGCTGCCTCATGGCATATATATATAAAAAGCAAAATTAACTACATGGCTGTTCCAGTCTCTCCACTTGCTCTTCCCTTGTGCATCAACACATCCTTGAGCAGGATCCTGGGACAACACAATCCATGGATAAGTCTGCTGTCACTGCCAGTGCATCTCCTGCTTCCCACTTAGCAACAGAAGGTGCTTTATTTAGCATCCCTCATTCGGGGGAACTGCAAATAGGTCACAGAAAATTAGCTTCTCACCTTGTTTTTGGGAAGTATCTTATGATCAAACAGAGAATTCATTGCAGTTTCTTACCTCCAAGTAATACCTACTTTTTGACAGGTCATATAAATAGACCAAAACATACAAACAATTGCATAGAAAGGAGCCAGGATGATTTAGCTTTTTGTGTCTAATTCTCATACCATGTCCTGTACAAATGGAATTTTTTTGTAGGGGTAGAGGCAGCAGAAGAGTGAAAGTATAACTTCGTCTGACATGTCTGGGGCTTGGAGAGATGAGAATAAATCTCCCTGAAGCTGGACTGTCCACTATACAAGAAAGTTAAATTTATCCCTCATTCCCCATTTTTAATTGTCATTTAAGTCTGCAAAGTATTTTAGATTATCTGATATCCCTGCCAACCATAATCAATGTTGCAGATCACAAAAATTGAAACACTTGATCACAACTTCAATGGCTAATTCTCTGTCAAGAGATAAGAGATATCCCAAGATAACCGGGATGCTGGGAAGGACAGGAGTACAATGCTAAATCCAGGATAGTACAGTGCCTCCTGCCATGTGTGCTCACAAAAGCAGGTACAAGCTGTACTAGTCTGAGTGTGACATTAGAGAATACCCCAATTTCTTCTCCACAGTGCAACTTGTCCTTTGTTCTTCCTCCGAACCCGTCCTTGGGTGTATTTCCCACCCACTTCCCCTCTCAGGGTCTGCAGCACAATGTAGCGTGCTGCTTTCCTTTTCCTTTACCCCTGGCAGCCTGGCACCAGCCAGCTCTGCTCTAGAAGGTTGGTGGCTGAGTTGGTACAGTGTGAGCCCAAACTATACTCCAAAAAATTATTCAGTTTCCCTTCAGACAGGTGCTAGTGACATCTCACTCTTGTCTCTCTGACATCCTCATTCATTAAATCCAGAAAGCCCTTGGGAACAAGCCAGTGAATCAAGGGAAAAGATGCATTTCTTGTCTGAAGGCAAAGACGTGGTGCTGCAGTCAGCAGCTCCTTTCTCTGATCAACAGCTTGTCCATTTAGTGATCATCTCCATGGGGTACAGGCTGCACCTCCTCCCTGTCTGCACAGCTGGGAACTCTCTGTTCCAGGGCACAGGATAACACCATCATTCTCATTGGTTCCTACCTTTATGTCCAAGTGAGCCACTCTGCAGTTGTGGAGGTACTGCAAGGCTTCCATTGTGTCTCTTATATAGAATGCCACCTTTTCCTCCATAAGCTCATCGTGGTTCATCAGATAATCTAAGAGACGACCATCATCCATCCTACAAACAAATCAAACCCTGTGCATGAAACATCACATGGCATCTCTAGGAACAGTTAATATCTGAAAATAAAATTGCAGTGGAAACTTTGTGACCTAAAAAAGGGACGAAAATAAAACACAAGATCTGACGAGTATTTAATGATATCTCAAGATACTGCAGGCCATGGAAGTGGTAGAATGATTAATACTCAATTGTTATCTCCAGTCCTTGACAAATTTAGCAACAGTCTTAATGTAAACTCACTTGCTTAAGGATGGATTCAATAGACAGAGACAATCTCTTTGGAAACAGAACTTCTTAATTATTTGGATTAATCTATTTATTTATAGAGCTGGTTGCATAACGCAGAAAAAAAAATCATTGACATTTTCAGCTGGTAATATTTTCTGTGGGAAAACTAACTAATAAAAGTTTTCCACCTAGTTTATTTATCTGTACAAACAATGAAATAGCCCAAATATACTTTGTTGGATATACTGTAACAAAGCATTTTGGAGTTTGGTTGCTGTTTCTTCTTATGGGACAAGCATGGTTGCTACACAGGTCTTTTCACCAAAAAGCATTAGAATGATGAAGGCTTTGATCTAGCTGAAACACTTTTACTCAAATGTAGAAAGTAGACAAAACTTCACAAGTAGGTCTGATGCTTTTCAATGGCACAAATTACTGAAGCTTCACCCAAGTAGAAAGCAGTTTTATTTGTCCTTAATCTTACTTACTGTAAAGAAAAGGCACTGGAAACTCTGCAGAAAATGGCTATTTCATTTGATATCTCAATCAATAAAATCTTTGCCCTGCTGAACTCAGGATAATCTTTATGCTTGGCTTTAATAGGGCTGACACTTGAATCCAAGTTCCACATACTTACAGTTCCAAAACTAAGATGTAAGAAGTAGGAGACTCGTAGGTATCGTGGATAGTGATGTACTGAGGATGCTGTAAGTGTTGTAACAAAGCTGCTTCATGTGCTGCCTGCTCTTTCTTTTTCATTTTTTTACTAATGAATTTTACAGCAACATCTTTCCGGGTGGCTTTGTGGACACATTTCTTTACTATGGAGAATCGACCCCTGAAATTGTAAAGAAAACAGAATAATGAGGTAGCCTCATGAATAAATCATGTCTTGTTTTTGGCACAATAGCAGAATGATTTTCGAAGGTTTTTTTGATTCATCACATTAATATTTCACAAGGCATCAGATTTAACAAGTTGTTCATAACCTTTTCCAACAAAGGCCCTCCATCTCTTACCCTGGGTGTAGAGATTCTTTGGGGATTAGCAAACACTGAGAGCAAACAGTGTCACTTTGCTTTGTGCAGCCATACTGATATCCTCTAACAACCTCCCCTGGGTTCAATTTGCTGCCACTTTTAAAGGTTCTGTCTCCTTTTATTTTAGCTGTGGGTCTCCCTTCTCCAGCTGCTTTATTAAAGGGACCAAACTTTCTCAAACAACTAAAAGAAAAGCCTTGTTAAATTATCACTGACGTACCATTTTGTCTCACTTTTTCAGACACACAGTAAGAAATTAAGAAAAAAGCTGTCAGGAAAGCATTTAGGAAACTCATACAGACCATAGTACCATTCCTGAAATTAAAACTACCCAGTGAAACTATGTGCTGAGCTTGAGCTCTTAGTTATACATCCCTGTTTTCTATGGAACCAGAGGGACTCCTGTCCTTTCAGCCCCAGAATTATCTCTGACATCTGAGCCGAAGAAATAATTGCATTAACCTGAATTATCTGCATGCCCCTTATCTATTATCTGTGGAGAGAACCAAGGGCTGACAACATGTGCTGCTCCTATTTAGGCTCTGTTCAACTCACCCTCCCAATCAGCAAAGATGTCAGTCACATGCCCAAGTGTTTTGGCAAACTCAGTCTTTGAGGTTAAGCTTATCCAGAACCAGTAAATTGTCATGACTTCAAAACAGGACCTCAAATCAGAGATGATAGAAAAGTTACCAACTGCCAGAGATTTGGCCGCCTAATTGCTCACCAGTTTGCCAATTTGCAATTCTCATATCAGAACTTATCTTGAAAAACAGAATTTAGTCAGTATTTTCATCAGTATCTGATATGCGATGCTCTTTGAAAGTAGCAGCAGTTTTCAAGCTAACTACTTTCCCCACCAAGGAAAAAGGTTCAAGCCATTGTTTGAGTTTTTTATTACAGTGATAAGCAGGGTTAATATTACCTTCCAATCTCATGCAGCTCTGCATAGGCAAGGTCAAAGTTTTCCTTCCATGAAATAGTGGCACCATCGGCAGCAGAGTCTTTGAGAGAACAAAGAACATTCAGGAAGGTATAAAGACAGTTTGCTGTGGACTATACACAGCATATTTGAAAATTATTATTAAGACAGGAAACATTATCACTAGGAGTCTGTTATCAGGCTCCAGTGTGTTGGATCCCTAAATGCCAGAGCTCCCCAGGGAAAGGTGTGGATAAGGGGGACTCAAATATGTCCTTGTGATTTTGGGGTGAAAAGGTCCATAGAGACAAGGGGTAGAGCTGTGCTATGTGAGCTCTTGTTCCATCCAGCACCAGCTATCCAAGCCAGTCACAGACCTAGTTACACACCAGGACTACTAAAACATGGGAAAAGTGGGCTTTTCTCAGCACTTGAGAGTGAGCTGTGCCCCAAATTCCTGCAGCACTCAGTGCTTGGGAATTGCCTTCATCACAGCATCGCCATTTCAGCTGCATTACTGGGATATTTTGCAAGTGGAATTGCAGCCCCCAGCTAGGCTGCCCAGCAGAAGCTGCAGGTGCTGCTGGCATTGCTGGAAAGTCAGGATGGACACCAGCCAGGACATGGAGCCCGTTGGGCAGTGATGAAGACATGAAATAGACTGGGAATAGACAGCAGGGACCTGCTTGGAATCTGCAACAGCCTCTGTGGCAGAGGCAGGCTCTGAGCCTGGGTGGAGGTGAAGACACAAAAATCCTTTCTGGGGCCAGGAGCTGGCTCTGTGTATCTCCCAGGCTTTTTCTCGTATCCCTAGTTGGTGCAGGATCCCTGTTTTTATCAGGACAAAGAAACCAAACCGTACAGAGCCCAGGTGGATTCCTGTGCAGCAGTCTTTCCTGCAGCGCTCACTCACCGTACTCCGGGAGCCTCACGAACTCAGACGGGTCGCTGGGCAAGCTGATCCCCCAGGGATTGCTGGCACTCACTCGGAACTGGTACTGGCAGCCCGGGGACAGGTCCTCAATGACGAGGTACGTGTCCAAAGTTGAGGCTACTGACTGCTGCCAGACCTGTGAGCCTGTTGGACAGAGGGAGGGAAGGGGAGCTGAGGGAAACTCTCTCTGTGTGAGCTCGGGCTGAGGCTTTCTCTGCCCAGCTTAGGTAGTACCCTGGGAGGGTAAAATCTGCAGGGTTTTTAAGAGGCAGTGTTATAGCAGACTGTTAAACCAGAAGTGGATCACAAGAAGCTGTTTTGTATTGCAGCCACCTTCCCATCTGACTAAATGAGAAAAGAAGGAAATGCCCCTCAGTTGACTCAGGATAATGATGGAAAAAGCTCAGCTCAGGGACAAGCTGATCTCTCCAGCACTGTAGCTGTGGCAGTGTGCTACAAGTGATGTCTCAGGGCAGTGTGATAAGACAGAAGGGGAGAGCTGGTCTTACAACAGCTCTGCTGGGAAAGAAACAGTAGCAGAAATACTGAAAATGAACCCCAAAACCATGGACAAGGGAGACGAAGCTGAGACAGGGCATCCGTGCAATCCAAATTTGCAGATGAAGATATGGTGGCTACATGGAAGCTGTAGCTGCAGGAGGAGAACCAGCTTTCTGACACTTAAGAAGAGCAGAATTGCAGCAAAGAAATGCGTGACTGTCATGTGTTTCTGCTCTTATCAAACCCAGCCACTGCCTAACCTGTGGCAACCAAAGGACCAATACTTAGTCCTCTGTACAGGGTCAGAGAACAGAAAAGGAGCCCTGGAACACAGAGCCCTGTCACAGATGGAGATTTCTACAAGAATTCATAAAATTGTATCTTATTTTAGTAAGTTCAGAGCCTTTTACCTCTATGTTATTTACCATGACCCATTTTTTTTGTGTCCTGTGGACAAATTCTGATTGCCAGGTTTCACAAGGTCATGGTTGGTTTTACAAGAGTCAGTTTCACCTTTGAAGTAGGAGGAATACTGAAAACACTGCTGGGTTTTTTTTGATGTTTGTTTTGTTCGTTGTTCTGTATAAAGGAGCTTTTATTCTTTTACAAAAATGCCAGTCACACAGTGAGGGTCAAGGGAAAATATTCACTAGGAGAAGGTGTTAATATGATGGAGTGAATAGGTCTGCTTTCTTACTAAAATTGCGTAGGATTTTTTGAAGGATGAAGGGGAAAAAACAGAGGCCATATACCTAAAGTAAGATATATTTACTGCCCAGGGACCCTCACATCTTTGCAGGAAGAATGCAAAAAGGGATATGAATCATTTCAAATGCCATTTCAAGAGCACATACCCGTGCATATTGGGAAAACAGTGCATTTAATATCTAGCTAATTCTTCGGGGGAAAAGGATGGTTGGATTTAAGAAAAAAATGGATTTCAGAGCTGAGCTTGAAAAGTATGCAGGGATCTGCAACTTCATCCAGATCAAAAAAATAATGAGTCTGATTTGGTTTTGCATTTCTGGGAAGCACCCACCAGAAAGGATGGTGGTAAAATGCAAATGATAAAAAGATGCCTTGGTGATGGATATGTTTTAGCTTAGCATACTTTACTTGTTGTAAGTGACCAGAGGAAACAGAAAGGTCTGTAATATGTGAGAGGCTGGACTGGATGATAGAAGGGCTTCTTTCTGCCTTAGACTTTGTGATCTGTAAGCTACAATTAGTGGCAGGCCAGTGGTGACAAGAATGTTTTTGGGACCTGTTGTGTCATAAAGGAAACTTACCTTGTTCTCACTCTCACAGCCAGCAAGCACAGCTCACACCACTTACCTTCTTCTCTGTACTCCACAGTGTAGCCTGAAATGGTGCAATTGCCTGTACTGGTTGGGGGTAGCCAGCGTAGGATCACAGAGGTGCAGCTTCTCTCCTGAGCAATGGGGCGGTTTGGGGCAGCTGGCACACCTTGGGAAGAGGAAACAATATGAAATCCAGCATCACATCAATAAGTGCTAGTGCTTTATTCAAAAGATCGGGTGTATCAGGTACACCAGGTCACTACAGGACAGCTGCACCTTGAAGAGGGGCTTAACTAAGCAGCAGGTGAGGAGTGAGTTAGCATTGAATGCCCAAAAATTACACAAGCAAGGCATTCAGAATTCTTCTGTGTGTAAGGTGCTTTGTGTGCTTGGGAGCAGATTGACAAATGACAAGTAATCCTTCTGTGGTTTGCTTAGGGCTCCCTTCAGCACAGGAGTAGTTAGTGCAGCCACTGACTTGCTTGGATAAATTGGGGAAATTGGATGTCTAGGGTGGTTTGTGAGACCAAACAAATCAACTTTTAAATGCTTGTGATATTGCTTCATCTGTAACTCTCCAGTTGGACATTCATGTCTGGACCATGTCCTTCAACAGAGCTGGCACCTCATCTCTAGTGCTAACAAATCCCTTCTCAGAGCTGGAGGCAATGAGCATCAACTCATTATTCCATATTCATTCCAATTAGATGGGTTGCTAATTAAAGTGCTGAGAATTCAGGCTTGGGGACATGTCTCTAAGTTGAATCTCCAAAGAACAGTTTCACCCAGGCTAAATCTTACTCTCACCTCCTTTGTCCCCTAAAGAGAAGGAGAGGCAGAAAACTGGTGTCACTGGATCCCAGTTCCTCCCACTCCAGGCAGATTCTGAAGCTCAGAGCTTCCTGCAGTCAGTTGGGGCATCATTCCCTCAGGGACTTGGCTGCCCGAGGGAGCTGAGCTTCCTCTGGCTGACTTTACTGAGCTCCTGGGAAGCAGCACTAGGAGCAGGATGCAGGAGCTGAACCACTGCCAGTGCATTTTCATTTCCCAAATGTGATGTTTATGGTCAGACAACTTAATCAAGCACAAGGAGTATGCAAAGCCTTGAGCCATCAGTGGGAGTTGTGGCTGAGGAATGGTTGTACGACTTAACATCTCAATTCACCTGGCACAGCTCCACATCTGGCTGCCTCTGCATGGGCTGTTCCTGTGTGCTCCCAGCCCCCAAGGGACCACACACAGGAAAAATCCCATGTGCTAAGGTCAGATGTGCTACCTTGGACTTTGATAGTTGCAGAGGTTGATGCGGTTCCATGTTCATTGGTTGCCACACAGGTGTAGATGCCACTGTCCTGAGGCATCAGGTTGCAGATCTTCAAGGTAAGCTCTCCCGAGTCACTGTGAATGCAGGAAGCCCAAGTTATAAAACACTGCTTCCCTTGCTACTGGTTTTTATATAGTTCCTGTCCTGCCTCATTGCAAACACACATGCACACAAGTCCTGTTAACTCCTTTGAAGGAACATCCCTCCAGCAATTTGGTGCCCAAGTACAACCCTTTCATATGTCAAGGTTTGGATGTTAATGAAACTTTTGAGCAAACCTTTGGTCCAAATTGCCTGCCAGGCAAATCCCCATGTCTGTTGTGGTGTAGGAAGAGATGCAAGCATTCCAGGAGTTGAACATTGCCTGTGCCTGTCGAGAGCTGGATGCTTAGACTTGATATATCTGGAAAGATTTAGCCATGAAGATCTTTGCTAGCATGGGAGATGGTAAGCTGCTGTGCCTCTGCAGTGAAGTCCAACACATACCAGACAAAATGGGCTTCCCACAGATGCAGGAAGCAGTCACACAGCACAGGGTGACATTTCCAGGGAGCTTCAGACCCCTGGAGCATGTGCCATTGATCTGAGGCTGCTGCCAGGGCCCCAGTTGGAAGACTGGACATCTCCTAACAGCCAGGGATAAAGAGCACAGCACTGAGTTCGTGAGACACACTGAGTATTTGGGCCAATCTGAGAAAATAAACAGCTCTGTGCAGTCTCATGAATTTACAGCAGGTCTGTTCATAGTCACTGCTGTTTGCACACTTCAGTCTCCAATATGCAATTTGAGGGAGCTGGCCTGAATTAAAGGATTTTGCTTGTGTAACTGTTTTAGCTGTACTGGAGACCCAGCTTAGAGCCAACAATAAGTTCCCTTGATGGCAAAAGTAGGCTAGTTCTTGAATGCTTAATCTGTTGGGTACTGCAGAAGGACATGGTTCCTGGGATAACCATCTGGACTCTGCAGCTTTTGCTGGCCTGACTGCTGGTTTAAAACAGGACAGAAATACCTCCTCTCCCTGAAATCCACACACTCGTGCCAGCAAGATTTGTAAGAGCCACTGATCCACTGGGCCTCTGCTTGGCAGGCAGCATCTTCACTGGAAAGATTATTTGAGTAACAAGACAATACAAGTGCTGATAGTGCACAGGGAGCCAACAGGAAGAGGACTGTGATGAAAACCAGAGCCCTGT